GGCAATTCGATTCTCGCCATTGTCGAGGATATCCGATCGGGCGTCCAGCGAAAGAATGAAGACTATAAAGATATCCGAGAGATCTTTACGCGCTTCCTGCGGGATGTGGTGGTGCCGCGGGATCCGGCGGGGGGAGGGGGGGGGATCGCTTTCTCGAACGAAACGCGGGAGCGTGGCGGCGGACGTCGGGGTGGGACGTGCAATCACCGGGGTGTAAATACGTGCGTGCAAACCAACCCCTGCTCACGCCTCGATACGCGCGGTGATAGGCGTTTCGTAGGTATAGTCGCACGACTGGCTCGAAAAGGGAGGTTCCAGCAGTGCCGTGGACTATAATTCTGCATTATCGGTGAGTTCACGGGCCAACGCATCTCCGAGTTGGGAAGGGGGTGGCACGGTAGCGCGCCGTTCTCCACTAACCCTTTCTAGCGTTGCCTTTAACCCTTACCGCTCCCGACAGCTGCGTGCAGGCATTGCGTTCTCAATTTCGGTTTATAACCTAAACAATAGATACTTTTGCGCGATTTAACGCTTCATCAATTAGCCCTTGTTAAAAAAACGATATCATGTAAATTACATCATTAAGGTTTTGTTCCTTGTTTATTAAACGATTAAACAGAGGTTGTATGAAAGCTGGATTTTGATATTGCGTATAAATAAAGTATTTTCTAATTTTTTATTTATAAGATAGATTTATAATTTTTAAAATTCTTATAGAGTCAACGTGTATCAATTCTTTCCGTCATTAAAAAAAAATTGTTTATATATCTTTAATAAAAATTCACGTAAATTTTCTTATTCATTTTTTTTATATAACTAAATAAGTTAGATACTTATGATATTTTGCTATTCAAATTGGCCTTTATTATTTTAAAAAATATCACGATAACTGATAATGCATATTCCAAGTTGTAATAGCCTCGTCAGGGTGTTTCATCCCTCGTGACAATGGCGGTTCATTCCGAGCGGTTCGTCGCCGGTCGCAAATCAGCAATTTCTTGATATCGCCGATTTTCCCTAAGTAGAAAAACGCATCGGGCGAAGAATGACGCGGCCGGGCGAGCAACGGGACGGCGAGGGCGGCTTTCCCGGTTAGGAATGATTTAAGGGTTGTTATCGGCGAACGGAGCTGCGGGTCGGGCCGTCCACGTCAGCGGGAACGTTCGTATCAATTCCAACCATCCCCCGAACCGGCCTTAACTTCACCCACTCGCTCCCTCTCGCCCGACCCGCGCCCCGAGTCTCCTCTCCCCTCCCCCCGCCCTCCTTCGCACTCGGTTCTCTCGCCCTGTCTTCCTCCCGAGACCGGAGGGGGGGGGGGAGGGAGACAGGCATTAGCCGGCCGTAGTAACCCGGCCGAGATTGTCCATACCACTGCCTCTTCTCATCGGCTTGTACCGACGATCTATTAGATCGGCACGGAGGCTGTGCAGCTCTACGCGTTTGGTACGGTCGATGTATCGTCTATCTGGTTATGTTCACGCGCGAGTGCCTTGAGGGGCAATGGCGGGTGATGAATTGGTGATTAAGATGAGCCAGCCGGCCGCGATCGGTACCGTGCCCTCTCCCCCTCCCCTCTGAACCCCCCCGAACCGCGATTCCGATCGATCCGAGCTCCGCAGACATTTCTATGCCTCATCAAATAACAAGACCCATTGTTTTAGCATTCGCTGTAATGAAATAGATATATAATTTTAGCATTCGCTGTAATGTGTTCGTGAATTAGGATGAATTGGCAGATAGGGATTTTTATAAAATATTTTTGGTGTACATATTTTTGATACTTTTGAATAATACACCTGAATGATTTTCTCGTCTCGAAATTCACTTTTATATTAAATATTAAAAAGATTTTCCTTAAATTTATATCAAATTTAAAATTTGCAGGATTGTCGCGTCCTTGCAAAATTCAGAAAAATGAATTAAATCTCTTTATTCTAATCATTATTTTTAGAGATATAATTTTATGTTATAACACATATGAGTAATAAAATCTAGTTTTTATTTTAGATATCAAATTTCAGAAAAAAATATAAAAAGTCTCGAAAAAAGCTCTCCCTTGTGAAGATTGACTATTCACTTTTTTTTTTACTGTTTAAAAAATAATGGAAAGTTGCCGATTCTCGTCATCTCAAAGTATTTCTTAAGAAAAAAAAGTAACTTATAAATATAAATCAACTATTGAAAGAAGATGAGTGAAATTTTTTGAAAAATTCAGAAAATGAAAAAGAATAAATAAATCATAAATGATAAATATAATGCGTGCCATTTGACGACAATTATCTGTTTTAATCGGAATTCGTTTCGTTTCGCTCCTTGTAATTACGAACGTTTTTGCAAACAAATTACAAACCGAATGGCATCGTTATACGCGTCTGCGATGATCCGCTTCCGGCAACGACGGACGCGATATGAAATTCATACCGGGCGTTCTTCGACGCGCGGCCGTCGTTGTCGAATAGCAAACGCGACAGCAGCTTTCGAACTTTCGAAAACTGGAACTGCCGAAAATTGAAACAACCGGACCTCCAAGATTGGACTCCGGTAGCTCTCTCTCTCTTTCTCTCTCTCTCTCTTTCTTACGCGTCCGCGGAATTGCGAAACGACGGTATCACGTGTAGCCGGCCGCGACGCTAATATTCGCCCGGGACCGACGTGGTCGAAACTTTACCTACCCTTCCGACAGCATGCAACTGCCGGCATGCAAACGAGACTCCGGGGGTGTTTCGAATAGTTGAAGGTTACCAATGTCGAAGGCCGGGAGATCGAGAGGGAGTCGTGAAAGGGAGGGTTATGCCGACACCCGCACCACGCTTTCACGGGGAAATGACTTTGCGCTGATCGGCAGCTAACTACGCCAAGACCAGCTTACTCCAAGAGCGTATTCTGGAATTAAATTCACGGGGACGTCCTTCGTGGTCTGCGCCCGCTGGAATAAACGACATCGCGGGACGTATGGGTTTTGCGTCAACGCAACGATTCGCAGCAGTTTGTCCTGGAAATGGCGTTGATCGCGAGAGGCGCGAGGAATCCGCGTCTCTCGTTGCAGAGCGAAGCAACGAAACCGTAAAACGCGACGAAACAACTGTAATATTATCCCCGCTTTTATTCCGCGACGGCAACCCCGGGTTGGTCTTTGTCGAACGCGATACGAGCCCGAAGCTAATTTCCATGCCGGAGTTGGCGCGCGGAGTTATAAAGAGACGGACGCGAAAGCGAGGGAAATTGGGTGAAGCAGGGAAAATTACTATAATCAACCCTATGATGGAGTAACAATTACCTAGACATCGCAAGGCCTTTAAGACCTATATTTATAATCATTACTCGAGAGTATCTCGTGTCCAACGAGTTATTCGAGAGCAGAGTTTTATATAACTATTCAATAGTCGCAAATAGAATTTTAATAAGAAGAAGAAGAAGA